GGTCTATAAGGACCTATCCGCACACTCCGAATCTGGTCAGTACTTGCTCTTCAAATGCCTCAACTATCCTTGCAGAGTTTTTGCTTGGTAGGGCTCTCACCTCCACCTATTTGCTGCCTTAATCTATCATGATTGAGATGTACCGCTTCCCCTATTGGCTCAACGGCTTTTCCCTACCGGAATCCTATCCCTCTGATGGGTAGGGATTGCAGTTCCTCTTTCCCTCTCTCCAGCTCTGCTTTGTTCTTGCTGCACAGCTCACGCGACTCCACCCAGTTTCTTATGTCCCTCCTCATGCCCGCCCACCACCACCCTGTCTCTGCCAGCTAAGTGGTCCTCAGGCTTCCGTAATGCCCCAGCTGTGTGTGAACCTGACGGACTGTCTGGTTCCGTTCCTCCTTCCTTGGCGCCAACTTCCATCCACAGCTCGTGTTTTTCTGCAGCTGCTCCTGGTACCAGCGGTAGTGTGCCCCTCGTTGCCTGGCTCTCTCGCTCACGGTTGTGCTTCTGTGGTCTTCCCTTGCACCCACTTCAGCGCGTCCTCGTCCTCCCAGATACCCTCTGCCCCTTACTTCTGCATCTTCATGGCCCCTTCTCCATCTACTTCTCTGGCCAGCGCCACCAGGCACCCGGTTGGCCTTTCAGGCGGAGGGTTCCTGGAGAGCTTATCCACATGCTGCATGGTTTGGCCTGGGCGGTGTCTGATGGTGAAATCATATTCCTGAAGCCGCATTGCCCATCTGACATTCCTGCCCGTCAGGGCCTGATTAGTCATCAGCCAGGTCAGGGGCTGGTGATCAGTCACCAGCTCGAAGGGCCTTCCCTAGAGATATATTCGGAAGCAAATGATCGCCCACACAACTGCCAAGCCTTCTCCTTCGTAGGAGCTGCAGTTTGCTTTGGCTGGATTGCAGCTGCGGCTCGCGAATGTCACCACCATCTCCTCTTCCCCTCTCTTTTGGCACAGTATAGCACCCATTCTTGAGCTGCTACAATCGGTGTAGAGTGTGAATGGGTCATCTTTGTTCAGTTAAGTCAGAACCGTTGCTGACTTGACCGCCCTTAGCAGGGAGCTCAGGGCCCCTTGCTCCGCTTCTTCCCACTGCCACTGCTGATCGTCTCTCAACAAGCGGTTTAGCAAGCTGGCCATCTTGCTGAAGTTGGGCACGAATCTCCTGTAGTAGTTGAGGAATCCCAGCACCGCCCTGAGGCTACTTCGGTCCTTTGGAGGAGGGACCCTGTCCAGCATCTCCACTCCACACTTATGCATGCTGGATTCCCAATGTCCCTCCTTCCACTTCGAATCCCAGGTACATCACCGATGTGTTGCCAAAGCTGCATTTCTTCGGATGGCAGGTGAGATAGATTGAATGCCGCAATCACGTCCAAGGTTGCTTTCACATTCTTGACGTGTTGCTCTGCATTGGGGCTGAAAAATATTACATCATCGATATGGCATGCTGCAGCCAGAAATCCTGTCAGTGCCGTGTCCATCGTGCGCTAGAACAATGCCGACACGTTCTTCATTCCAGACGGCATGAATTTCCATTCATACAACTATCTGGCCCATAAATCGTCGTTTTCTTCCGATCCTCTTGCAGTATGGGAGTCTGGTTAAACCCCTGGCGCAGGTCTAGGGTGGAGAACACTGTTGCCCCCTGCAGTTTATAAAATATCTCTTCTGCGGATTGCATGGGATAGCTGTCTGCCTTGGTGACTTTGTTGAGTCCTCGGTAGTCCCCGCACATTCTCCTCGCAAACACCTCCTCGATTAGATCCTTCCTCGACGCCACCACAGTTGCTGCCGCATGTTCGCTCTCTGATCGCTGTATCAAGCCCGCCGAAATGAACTCGGCGCACTTCTCCATGCATACACTGGTCAGCTCAATACGCATCTCTTGCGTTATGCACTTGCCCATCTCTTGCAGAGTGTAGGCAAAGGTGGCTCGGTGTTGGCGTAATACCTCCTGTATTGCTGTTGCCACTGCCTTTCCTAGCCCTTCTCCCAAGGTGATCCCAATGTCCTTGAGTTCCTCATGGATGTTGCAAATTTTAGAGATGTAGTCCGCCATGCCCGGGCATTCTTCGAGGCGGACCCGGAACATTCGAGTAGGGATGAGCAAAGGGCGAACACGAACATGTTCGCATTTGCAAAAAAAGGGTGTTCGATGTTCGCATGTGAAGGCAAATGCGAACACGAACGTGTTCGCCCTTGTACAAGTTTCATTATAGTCACACATGGCAGACAGGGACTTCGACCCTCCCACATGATCCCTAAACTCATGCTCCAACCGTAAACTGCAAGTTCTTCAAGGTTCCGCTATTCTAAGATGGAGGTAATGTAACCTACACTATTCTAAGATGGAGTTTAGGTGGTCCTAGGATTCCTAAGAAAGGGCGGTAGTGGGCATTAGGGGCCTGGCGGGTAGGTTGCGACTAGTTTGAGCTCACAAAATGAGCTCAAACTCAAAGCGCCGCGACCTAAATTTGGTCGCGGCCCAATTCGTCGACGAACACCAAAGTGTTCGTCGTAGGCCCCCCGTCGAACACGAACATGTTCGTGTTTGACGCGCCTCGGCCAGCTGAGCCACGCGAACGGCGAACGTGTTCGGTGCCGAACAGGAGTTCGTTTTCTTGCTCATCCCGACATTCGAGGAATGAGGATGGCAACACCCACAGTTGTCTTGTCATGAAAACAATCCTGGAGGTACTTCCAAATGTCATGAGCGGAGCGAAAGGTGCGGTAGGATTTGACAAGCTCAACCGGAGTGGTGGTGATGAAAACCCTAATAACTGCTGCATCCGCCTGCTCCCACACACTGAAATCGGTCTCATACTTGGTGGTCTTAGCTTCAAAAGCGGCCTTGGCTGTGGCAGTGGCTCCTTCGCCAAGAGGATCGGGAGGGAGAGGCATCCTTTCCCTTACCGCGGTTGAGGAGGATGTCTTTGAGGCAAATCCTCTTCAGCTCCGTGCTAAGGAGGTGCTTCTCCACTCCATAGCACCACTCTCCAAAGTTGGTGCTCGTGCCGTTGGGAGCGAGATTGAGAATGATGAGATTTTCGACGAGGTGGAAGTTGCCATTTCGCGCGGAGCGCAGCGCTAAAGTCCCCGATACTTAGTGGAGCAAAGCGGAGCGGAGCGATTTTGAAAAATAAGAAGGCCGAAACGCGATTTTAGCAATAGAAAACCCAGAATTTGATGGGCTGCTCTGTTTCACCGATGCCCCCTGATCTGCTTCGCCGCTGCCCCTTTTCCACTTCTCTGCTGCGCCGCTGAACCTGTTCCGCTGCGCCGCTGACCTGTTTTGCTTCGCCGCTGACCTGTTCTGCTGCGCCGCTGAACCCGTTCTGCTGCACCGCTGAAACCTGTTCTGCTGCGCCACTGAAACCTGTTCTGCTGCGCCGCTGAAACCTGTTCGAGGTTAAGAAATTGGGAAAAAACGAGAAATTTCCCGACGGAAATAAGAAATTCCATATGCTTACGATGAAAGACGTGGAAGAGAAGGAATCGCCGTTGAAATCGGAAGTGCGTGAAGATCGAATGTGAATGCGCTCTTGAACGGCGCGAAGACGTGAAGTCGGAAAATGCTAGGCGTGGGAGCCGAAAACCGAAAGACGTATAGAAGAAATGAAGAGAACCATTACGACGCCAAGGATCGGAGTCCGCGTGAGCCGAATTGACTTGCTTGATACCATGATAGAAATGGAGGTGAACTGATTGATTAGTAGAGAAGGCACTAGGCCTTAAGTACAAAGGAGGTTGGGTTGAGCAAAGCTAGGGAAAGGATGAGATGGGAATCCTAGCAAATCTCCAATTGGTGAATTGGCAGATTTGCAGCATTACGAGGGAATCCCAACCAGATAGGGTTGGGATTACAAACTACACCCAACCGGTAAATTACCTACGCGATATAAAATATAGTACACAAAGTGTTGACAGCCTAATTCTAACACCTCCCCCATCCATTGCTTGCCCATCTTGGATGTACTTAAATAGCTTATGGCTCATTACTAATGGATCACTTCTAAGTTTATGTTGTGACACGCACCCGCTGGCTCCTCCTCCGCTGGGATCCGCTGGTGTCTTCGCCCTCTTGCGACGAGCTCCCTCTTGGCCTCAGGTCTATTTCATCTCTCCTTTGGGTAGGCCATTACTGCATACTCCCGTCGGTACTCCTCCTCTTCCTCTTCTGCGCCTTCGATTTCTTCGTACGCGAACATCGCCCGCGTGTTTCCTTCTGCCGTCGGCTGTATCGTATTCTAGGTTCAACTGCAGTTTACTCACTTCTGCTTACAATCCTTCGCTAGTTGCCCCCAGCTGCTCCTTTGGCTTACGGTAACAAACCTCCTTGCAGTGGCCTCTACCGCATTGCTCGCAGAGAGGCGCTTTGGGGCATTCTTGCTTTATGTGCCCACCTTCCCCACATGTGTGGCAAAGTCGGGTGTCAACTCGACCACTCCCTATGATGCTCAGCCCTCAAAACACAGTTTTCCCTAGAGACCATATGAAACCTTGATGATTTTACCTAGAGCTCTTAAATGTTGTGGGGGAGTTGGGGAGGGGGGGGGCTGAGAGGGTGGCCGGAATAGTGTAAGATAGTTGAACAGATTGAACCAGTTGAAAGGTTAGGTTTGACGCAAAGTGGCTGGCAAAAAAGAGCCGCGATTCGATTCGCATCAAACTGAACAACAGCTTGGTTAATTGTTCATGACTAAACGGGATGGAGTCACAGACGGGAAAGAAATGTAGAGATAAAGGAGGTGAGGAAGTTGAGAGACGAGATAGTAGGGACGGAGTACACATGAGCATAAGTCTGAGCCGTGGGTTCGGCTTCGGCTTGTCGCCTTGGCTCATCAAGCCAACGATCATTCTCTAGACACTCCGGACTCGAAGAACTTGCGCTGAAGAGAAGCCAAAGCCGGCTCATTCCGGCTCGTGACAGCTCAAGACGAGCCGGCTCGGCCCAGACTTATGCTCATGTGGCAGAGGGGAACCTTACAGCGATGAGAGAGATGGTACTGATCCAATTTCCACAGGGATGGAACCCGTCAGCTGATTACTCCTAAGGGACCTGTCGTTCCATTTGAGTGCACAAAGAAAGAAACAAGGCGTGGGGTTTTAACATGGCGAAGAACGAGGGTGTTGACTCGTGTCAAACGAAGGACGGAGGGATATCACATAGGATGAGGGAGAAGAATGCTGATGAGCTTTCCTGAAATTTGATTTAGGAATCTAGATCAGTAAGGAGTCAAATGCGCTGATACTGGTATGAGATTAGACATGAGCAAGAGGAGTCAAACTTAGATATGAGCTTCGAACCGAACTTAGGTTCCATGAAAAGGGTTCGTGCAAATCTACCAAAAGTTCGTGCGAACTTTTGCGGTTTGAGATTCGAACTTCAAACCAAACAGGTTTAGATCAGCCAACCCTAATCTCGCAAAAAAGGTAGAGCAGATCTAGATCTGCTCTAAAAGACCAAACCAATGCTTCATCTCTACCAGTCTTTCACCACAAGTCCCTCTTAAGATGTGTCAAATGGTTACTTGTTATGTTAGACAGACCAATGAGGCTCTTTTTTTTTACAGATTTTAAGGTGAGCATATCGTTTTTACATTTCGTTGTGCATCCTTTTTAACCCCAAAGCTAACAAGCTTTGAGCTCGCTCGAACCTTTCAAGGTTTGAGCAAAACTTTAGGGTTTGCTATTGAATACTCAAACCTCAAACCTCGAACCTTAAAATTCCAAAAGACGTTTGAGCAAACAAGTTCGGTTCGGTTCGACCACCATGCAAGGTTCGAAAAAGTTTGAGCGAACACGTTTGAGGCGAACCGAACAGGTGTTCGTATCTGTGCTCATCCCTAGGCCGACTATCTGGGTTTGGCCACTGGCGGTTCGCCTTCGTCAAATACTAGTCCTAGTTTGTCCTGACTAGTCGCTAAAACCACACATTTCCAAGGTGGTTTAATTTTCTCTGATGGAAAAATGCACTGGTTTACAAAAAAGGAAAACAATACTACGGATTTCGTTTTTCAGATTTTGATATAATCCGCATACCAATCAACACTTTAGACAAATGGAAGGATTGAAAAAGCGGCCCGGGCAAGGTCGGTTCAACCCATTGCTCAAGTGGAAGAGGAACCAAGTTACAGGAAAGTAAGAGAAGTGAGCTTTGTGATCGAGGAGGGCAGAGATCCTGACAACATGTTGGCATCGAGAGAGCTGTCGGTGGTGTAGGGGGTGGATGCAGGGGAAGAATGGTTCCGAGTCCATTTGTGTGTTTGCAGGACCAGACCAGACTAAGATAAGAGGGATGAGCATAACCCGAACGTGTTTGTCTCGAACTCAGACGAACGCTTGCCTTACCCAAACCGAACACGTTCGGTTTGGGTTGAACATATTTTGAAGAACAGGTTTGAAGTCGAACTCTTTAGTTTTCAAGTCGAACACCAATGTGTTTGACTCGAACTCAAATGTGTTCGGATCGAGCAGCCACTACACCCCCCCACCTTCCACAGCCCCATCACCCCTGTCCACAACCTCCAACCCCCTCCACAGCCTCCTCAAGGTCCTCCTCCTCGAGCCCCTCCCCCTCCACTGACATTCCACTTCAATCTCGATTTCCACATTTCAAACGCTTGAACATGTTCGTGTTCGAGACTGTGTGACTGTTTTAGGCGATCATGTTTGACCCGAACAGTATATTGTTTGAAACAAACACGTTTTGCGTTCGACTCGAACAGAATTGAGTCGAACAAACAGATCGTCTAAAAATGGTCAGACAGGGCAGGTCCGAACCGAACCAGAGATGATTCGGTTAGGTTCAATTCGACCCACCCAGTCCAGGTTCGGATTGACCAGTCCTAACCTAACAGCACACTAGCTCTAACACTTCTGATAAATCATGATTTAAGCCCTTAAAACATGGTTTGCCCTAGAGACCATTTGAAACCCTGGTGATTATACCTAGAGCTCTTAAATGCTGTGGGGGAGGGGGGGAGGGGGTGGGTGAGAGGGTGGCCGTAGGGATGAGAAAAATCCCGAACGCCTGTTCGGTTCGCCTCGAACATGTTCGAGGCGAACCGAACAGGCATTTTTTTTTGCCTAAATCGTTCGAGGCGAACATGTTCGGTGTTCGGCCGAACATGTTCGCCGTTCGCCATTGATTTTTGGCTAAGGGAATTCGAACACGAACGCGTTCGTGTTCGAATTGGGTGCCCCGCGAAAACAAAAGTGTTCGCGTCAAAATTGGCCGCGACCAATTTTAGGTCGCGGCCGTTTTGAGTTTGAGCTCATTTCGTGAGCTCAAACTCAAAACGCCTTTAGCGCTTAGCCCTAGCCTTGCGGTTTTACTAGCTATCGCACACCTTACATCGTTCATCTACACGGACATTAGGGTTAGGGTAGTTCGTAGTGTAGGGTGTTTGTGTGAACATTAGTGTTGAGAAGCATAGGGATCAAGCACCAAGCGGTCAAGGTGTCAAGTTGTAGAGACGGCGTTTCACAATATGACCACTGTGACTGCATCGAATTTTCCCTTTGGCGAACTCGAACATGTTCGAGTCGAACATGTTCGAGTTCGCCTGCTGCAACAATTCGTTCGCCCCCTAGGGCGAACGGCGAACACCTGTTTTCGCCCAAATCAAGGATCAAAATTATGGTAATCGTATTATACGGTCCGTATAATACGGTCGTTTTATACGGTAAATTTTCCAAAAATACGGCGTATTTTTTATAGACTTGTTTTGATGCTTTTTTTCTTCTAACTAGAGAGAGCGGCGGTTGGGGTGAGGGAAGGGTGAGTTGAGTACCTCGTTGTGAAGTCTGGGCGTGCTGTGTCGAGTGGGTTGTGGAAAACGGTTGAGATACGAGGGGTAAGTTGATTGGTTGGGTTGGTTTCGCATCGTGTCGGTTCGGTGTGTCGCGATTGCCAGCGAAAAAGAAATGCGGTGCGCGAAAATCCTAAACGGGCAAAGCGAAACGGGTAAACCTGTGTTTACCGTTCGCCAAATGTTGAAATGCCGCGCCAAGGTAATTTGTACACTATGCGCTTCGGCGAGTATTGCCAACGAGTTGGCGAAGCAGGTAAACTCAACATTCGCCTTCGCCAAATGCCCAAATGTCGCGACTCGAGAAAGTCGTGACATTCGCGACTTGGCAAAACGTCACTTTCGTCTGTACGGGTGTGCGAGAAATTTGACTTCGGGAGAAACATGGGTGGGAAATTTGAGACTTCGATATACACAGACCCGAATTCAAAAGTTTGGTCGTAAAATACGACCGTATTTTTGAACCAAACAATAAAAACACACATCCACCGTTTTAAACCGTTTTATACGATCGTATAATACGATTCCGTATTATACGGTAAAAAATCAATAATTCGGTCGTAATTTTGAACCTTGGCCCAAATAGTTCGCCGAACCGAACAGTGTTCGGTTCGGTATAAGTCGATGTTCGATAGGGGACGAACACGACCATGTTCAAGTTCGCCCTCTGCTCATCCCTAGGTGGCCGGATTAGTGTAAGATAGTCGAACCGATTGAACCAGTTGAAAGGTTAGGTTTGACGCAAAGTGGCTGGCAAAGGAGCCACGGTTCAATTCACATCAAACTGATCAGCAGCTTGGTTATTTGCTCATCATGACTAAACAGGATGGAGTCACACAGGGGGAAGAAATGTAGAGATCAAGGAGGAGAGGAGTCGAGAGACGAGATAGTAGGGACGGAGTACACATGAGCATAGGTCAGGGCCGACTGTTCGGCTTCGTCTTGTCGCTTTGGCTTGTCAAGCCAATGATCAAGCTCCGTGGCTCCACTGCTCTCTAGACAATCCGAACTCAAAGAACTTGCGCTAAAGACCCGGCAGTTGGCTCGTGGAAAAGCCGGAGCCGGCTTATTCCGGCTCGTGACAGCTCAAGACGAGCCGGCTAGGCCCAGACTTACGCTCATGTGGCAGAGGGGAACCTTACAGCGATGAGAGAGATGGTACTGATCCAATCTCCACAGGGATGGAACCCGTCAACTGATTACTCTTAAGGGACCTGTCGTTGCATTTTAGTGCACAAAGGAGAGACCAAAGCTTGGGGTTTTAGCATGGAGAAGAAAGAGGGCATTGACTCATGTCAAACCGGGGACGGAGGGATTTGCCCAACAATATGAGCCTTCGGAAATCACATAGGATGAGGAGAAGAATGCTGATGAGTTCTCCTGAAATTCGGTTCAGGAATCTAGAGCAATAAGGAGAACGTGAAAAATGGGCCCCTGCTTTCTTCTTGACCTGAAATGGGGCCCACTTGACCCGTCAAATGGCCGCATCAAGTGTTCAACAGGTAAAATCCCACCCCAAAAAGTCTATGTTGGAAAAGTCGCGCCCAGCGTATTATACGCCAGCGTATATACGCTAGCGTATAGTACGGGATGCGCTACAAGAGTGATTTTGTTATACGCTGAAAATACGCTGCCCGGGTAGGTAAAACTTTTTCCCGGGCAGTGCTATCCAGAAGATTCGCATCCGCGATTGTCGCGTCACAGGAGGAGGCACTAGGAACCTCACTTGTCGCACTCGCAGGAGTGCCATTAGGGGTCGACATCGTAAGGTTGTCGAGGGAACTGGAGAGAGATTGAACGAGCGGAGGAACTCACCTAGGTGAGAGAGTTGCGTGGTTGGCTGGTTGATGACATTTGTGAAGATGAGTTGGAGTCTGGGGGTAACAGAAGGTGCAATGCGGTTGAAATGTCCCCCACGTCTCGAATTTTATGTGTTAGGGTTGACGAGATTGTTTGGGACGTGCGCACAATGTGAGTCTCGTCGCAAACTCAAATTTCGTGCGCGATTTTTTTTTTTTTTTGCCGGGCAGCCCAGACATTTTCGAGCGAATATACGTGCGTATTGCGTACTCCGTATATACGTCTACGCATATACGCTGTACGTTGTCCCTGGCTGGCGACTTTTCCAACATAGCAAAAAGTCTGAAGTGCTGATAGTAGGAAGTAGAAATTAGCATACCGTCATCGCCTGGATATAAGACATATATGTTTTATCTCGTACACGGGAAATAATGCTTGGGTTGTCTTGTATTTGGGACGGTTGAGGGTGCCTTATAAGTCTTATAAATAGACAAAGAACCGTTTAGAAGATACCCCCTCGTAGGGAGAACAAATTAGCATAGGTCTGAACTGTGCGTGCGCCTTGACAGGCTTGTCGATTAGACGCGGGAATATTACCCCCGTCCACGCCGATCTAGCGGGTAGAAGTCAGACGTGAACGGGTTTGAGAGGTGGTGACGACGGGCACTGTTCATCCACGAGTATCCACCGGCTTATAAAAGTAGGAGCCAGCTCGTCCTGGCTCAACCAACTCACCCACGACGGACGAGCCACGAGCCGGGTGAGCTGCCGGCCCTGGTTTGTTGTGCCGCCGGCTCGTCACGGCCTGGACTTATGCTCATGCGGCAGAGAGGAGCCTTACAGGTATGTTAGACGACGTAGTGAACCAATTTCTGCAGGGATTGAACCCGTGAGCTGGTTATTCTGAAGAGCCCTGTCATTGCATCCAGATGCAGCAAGAAAGAAACAGAAGATAGGGTTTGACTATGGGCGAGCACAAGGGCAGTGACTCCTGCCAAGCGGTAGTCGGCCAATTTTGACTGAAAAGATGACCCTCCGGAGGTCATGCACTAGGATGAGGAGAGAAATGCTGATGATTCTCCAAATTGGGCTCAAGATCTTAGTCAAGTACGTTATACCTTGAAACTTTTCGAAAGTGGCCCGGGCCGAACATGAACCGGATGGGTCGGGTCCCGAAAAGGAATGGCCCGGTACTCATTGCCGAACCCGGGCCAAGGGACTGCTCGGCCAGCCCGGATCAGGCCGAACCTCATCCCTGCTTACAAGGATACCAGATTGGTGAGCAAGCCAATGTCAGCGGGGATGGAGTTGGTGAGCTGGTTGCCATAGAGGTAACTGTCCACGACGAGGCAAGAGACACGTGGGGGATGTGCAAGGGAATTGGACAAATGGGTGAGAAGGTAGGCAAGACGCTGATACTGGCATGAGATTCAAACTTGGGACAACCTGATTCAAACGTCACCAGCCTAATACAGAGCCAAACCAGGTCGAGTTCCAGTCAGTTTGGGTCAAGCTGACTTCTAGCCTTGCCGGCTTATGGGCCGACTATATGGGTTTGGCCACTGGCGGTTCGCCTTCCTCAAATACTAGTCCGTATTGTCCTGACTAGTCGCTATAATCACATATTTGCAGGGTGGATTAGTTTTTTCTAATGGAAAAATTGCACTGGTTTTTAAAAAGGAAAACAATACTATGGATTTCCGTTTTCCAGATTTTTATATAATCCGCATACCAGTCAGCACTTTTAGGCACATGGAAGGATTGAGCAAACGGCCCGGGCAAGGTTGGTTCAACCCGTTGATCAAGTGGAAGAGGAACCAAGTTACAGGAAAGTAAGAGCAGTGAGCTTTGTGATCGAGGACGGCAGAGATCCTGACAGCATGTTGGAATCGAGAAAGCTGTTGGTGGTGTATGAGGTGGATGCAGGGGAAGAATGGTTCCGAGTCCATTTGTGTGTTTGCAGGACCAGACCAGACTAAGATAAGAAGGATGAGTATAACCCGAACGTGTTTGCCTCGAACTCAGACGATCGCTTGCCTTACCCGAACCGAACGCGTTCGGTTTGGGTTGAACATATTTTGAAGAGCAGGTGTTGAAGACGAACTCTTTAGTGTTCACGTCGAACACCAATGTGTTTGACTCAAACTCAAATGTGTTCGGATCGAGCAGCCACCACAGCCCCCCATTCATGGCACGGCTGGTGCTGCTGACTTGTCATTGCATTTGAGTGCACAAACAAAGAACCAAGGCGTGGGGTTTTAACATGGAGAAGAACGAGGGCATTGACTCGTGTCAAACAGGGGACGGAGGAATTTTCCCAACAATATGAGCCTCCGGATATCACATAGGATGAGGAGAAGAATGCTGATAAGTTCTTCTGAAATTTGGTTCAGGAATCTAGAGCAGTAAGGAGAACGTGAAAATGGGGCCCACTTGACCCGTCAAATGGCCGCATCAAGTGTTCAACAGGTAAAATTCAAACCCCAAAAAGTCTGAAGTGCTGATAGTAGGAAGTAGAAATTAGCATACCGTCATCGCATGGATATAAGACATATATGTCTTATCTCGTACACGGGAAAAAATGCTTGGGTTGTCTTGTATTTGGGACGGTTTAGGGTGTCTTATAAGTTTTATAAATGGACAAAGAACCGTTTAGAAGATACCCCCTCGTTACACAATTGCCTATAACCCCTACACCTTCTTAACACGTACACACAAATAGGTGTCTTATAATGAGGCTAGCCTGTTTATAAGAGACACCCGGATATTAGACAACCCCTGTCTACTATTCAACACTGTCTACTATCTGGACGATGATGGTAGGTCTGAACTGTGCACGCGCTTTACAGGCTTGTCATTAGACGAGGGAATATTACCCCCGTCCACGCGGATCTGGCAGGTAGAAGTCAGACGTGCACGGGTTCAAGAGGTGGTGACGACGGGCATTGTTCATCCACGAGTATCCGCCAGCTTATAAAAGTAGGAGTCAGCTCGTCTTGGCTCAACCAACTCGCCCACGACGGACGAGCCACGAGCCGGGTGAGCTGCTGGCCCTGGTTTGTTGTGCCGCTGCCTCATCACGGCCTGGACTTATGCTCATGCGGCAGAGAGGAGCCTTACAGGTATTTTAGACGACGTAGTGAACCAATTTCTGCAGGGATTGAACCCGTGAGCTGGTTATTCTGAAGGGCCCTGTCATTGCATCCAGATGCAGCAAGAAAGAAACAGAAGATGGAGTTTGACTATGGGCGAGCACAAGGGCAGTGACTCCTGCCTAACGGTAGTCGGCCAAGTTTGTTTTTCAAGATGACTCTCCGGAGGTCATGCACTAGGATAAGGAGAGAAATGCTGATGATTCTCCAAAGTGGGTTCAAAAGCTTAGTCAAGAACGTTATAGCTTGAAAAATTTCGAAAGTGATTTGGGCCACAAAGGAATGGCCGGGGTACTCATTGCCGAACCCGGGCCAAGGGACTGCTCGGCCAGCCCGGATCAGGCCGAACCAGTCGCCCGATTATCTTGCCGTCCTGGCTTGGTTCAACTTGGGCCGAACCTCATCCCTGCTTACAAGGATACCAGATTGGTCAGCAAGCCAATGTCAGCGAGGATGGAGTTGGTGAGTTGGTTGTTAGAGAGGGAACTGTCCACGACAAGGAGGCAAGAGACACGTGGGGGGTGTGCAAGGAGTTGGAGAATGGATGAGAAGGTAGGTAAGGCGCTGATACCGGCATGAGATTTGACATGAGCAAGAGGAGTCAAACTTGGGCCAACCTGATTCAAACGTCACCAGCCTAATAGAGAGCCAAACCAGGTCGAGTTCCAGTCAGTTCGGGTCAAGCTGACTTTTAGCGTTGCCGGCATATGGGCCGACTATATGGGTTTGGCCACTGGCAGTTTGCCTTCCTCAAATACTAGTCCGTATTGTCCTGACTAGTCGCAATGAATCACATATTTCCAAGGTCGTTTAATTTTGTCCAATGGAAAAATTGCAGTGGTTTTTTTTTGAAAGGAAAAAAATACTATGGATTTCCGTTTTCCAGATGATGATATAATCCGCATACCAGTCAACACTTTTAGGCACATGTAAGGATTGAGCAAACGGCCCGGGCAAGGTCGGTTCAACCCGTTGCTCAAGTTACAGGAAAGTAAGAGCAGTGAGCTTTGTGATCGAGGAGGGCAGAGATCCTGACAACATGTTGGCATCGAGAGAGCTGTCGGTGGTGTAGGGGGTGGATGCAGGGGAAGAATGGTTCCGAGTCCATTTGTGTGTTAGCAGGACCAGACCAGACTAAGATAAGAGGGATGAGCATAACCCGAACGTGTTTGTCTTGAACTCAGATGAACGCTTGCCTTACCCGAACCGAACACGTTCGGTTTGGGTTGAACATAATTTGAAGAACAGGTTTGAAGTCGAACTCTTTAGTGTTCAAGTCGAACACCAATGTGTTTGACTCGAACTCAAATGCGTTCGGATAGAGCAGCCACCACAGCCCCCCACCTTCCACAGCCCCATCACCCCTGTCCTAGGCTTGAGCAAGTTGGCGAACACCTGTTCGGTTGTTTTTCAGCTTAAATCGTTCGCCCGAACGTGTTCGATGTTCGCCCGAACACGTTCGTGTTCGTGGCGCTGCTGCAAAACGCCCCGTGTCGAACACGAACGTGTTCGAGGTTCGCCCGAACACGCCTCCACAGGCGAACAGCGAACACCTGTTTTTGGCTAAACTGTTCGCCGAACCGAACACTGTTCGGTTCGGCAAAAGGACGTGTTCGAGAAGGGGCAAACACGAACATGTCCATATCCTCCTACCCCCTCCACAGCCTCCCCCAGGTCCTCCTCCTCGAGCCCCTCCCCTTCCACTGACGTTCCACTTCAATCTCGATTTCCATATTTCAAACGCTCAAACATGTTCGTGTTCGAAACGGTTCGACTGTTTAAGGCGAACATGTTTGACCCGTAAAGTATATTGTTTGAAACAAACACGTTTTGCGTTCGACTCGAACAGGTTTGAGTCGAACCAAACAGTCTCGCTCATTTGCTCAGTGTCGAAATCTTCACTTCCTTCTTGATTCCTTGTCTCCTGAGCTCGTGATCCCCTTGATGTCTTTCCTTTGTGTCCTACTTTTAAGGCCCTCAGCTCTCGGTTTCTCTTGCCCTTGTTCTCAGCAGCCCCATACCCTTGCCCCCTCCTCGGCCCTCTGGATGCTCTTTCCCTTGGCCAATAGATTTCTTCTTTTCCTGGCCGCCTCTGCCCTCTTTGCTCATCCCTCTCTCTCCCTTCTCCTTCTGTCCTTCTTGGCTTTGCCCATGCCAGGTTCGTGCGATGGTCCGTTCTCTCTTGCTCCATGTCACTGATCAGAACCACCACTCCTGACTCCTTTATTTCTTTCACCCCCCATCTCTCTGACCCTAAACCGATGTCCATCATATCTTGCTTCGCCTGCGTCAGATATACTTCTTCCCCTGCCCCCAGCTCCTTTCCGGTCCTCCCCCTTTCTGCCTCCTTCCTCTTCTTGTATCTCTGTGCGTCCCTCAACTGTGCTACGTGTAGGTTCTCCAGTGCGGCTGGCAATAGCTCTCTCAGGTACCGTGCTTAGGCCTCAGCTAGGCCCACCCAGTCTTTTTCTCTGTCCACCTTGAATGAAGCTGATAGTATCTTGGGGGCGTCTACAGGTAGGATGGGCTCCCTGCCTAGCAGCAGGTAGTATGGCGACAAATCTCCCAGAGCTGCTTGCTTTTTGAACCGGTATTCAGCGACCACCCATGGCAGCCTCGCATCTCAATCTCTCTTGAATCTCTCTTGAATCTCTTCCCCATACGCTCTTAACCCCCGCTGGCCAAATCTCTCTGTCAAACCGTCACTTTGGGGGTGGTACCTTGATGTCCTGCAATGCGTGATGCCCGTTTCCCTCAGCAGCTTATCGAACTCTCCCATGAACTCCGTTCCTTGGTCTATAAGGACCTATCCGCACACTCCGAATCTGGTCAGTACTTGCTCTTCAAATGCCTCAACTATCCTTGCAGAGTTTTTGCTTGGTAGGGCTCTCACCTCCACCAATTTGCTGCCTTAATCTATCATGATTGAGATGTACCGCTTCCCCTATCGGCTCAACGGCATTTCCCTACCGGAATCCTATCCCTCTGATGGGTAGGGATTGCAGTTCCTCTTTCCCTCTCTCCAGCTCTGCTTTGTTCTTGCTGCACAGCTCACGCGACTCCACCCAGTTTCTTATGTCCCTCCTCATGCCCGCCCACCACCACCCTGTCTCTGCCAGCTAAGTGGTCCTCAGGCTTCCGTAATGCCCCAGCTGTGTGTGAACCTGACGGACTGTCTGGTTCCGTTCCTCCTTCCTTGGCGCCAACTTCCATCCACAGCTCGTGTTTTTCTGCAGCTGCTCCTGGTACCAGCGGTAGTGTGCCCCTCGTTGCCTGGCTCTCTCGCTCACGGTTGTGCTTCTGTGGTCTTCCCTTGCACCCACTTCAGCGCGTCCTCGTCCTCCCAGATACCCTCTGCCCCTTACTTCTGCATCTTCATGGCCCCTTCTCCATCTACTTCTCTGGCCAGCGCCACCAGGCACGCGGTTGGCCTTTCAGGCGGAGGGTTCCTGGAGAGCTTATCCACATGCTGCATGGTTTGGCCTGGGCGGTGTCTGATGGTGAAATCATATTCCTGAAGCCGCATTGCCCATCTGACATTCCTGCCCGTCAGGGCCTGATTAGTCATCAGCCAGGTCAGGGGCTGGTGATCAGTCACCAGCTCGAAGGGCCTTCCCTAGAGATATATTCGGAAGCAAATGATCGCCCACACAACTGCCAAGCCTTCTCCTTCGTAGGAGCTGCAGTTTGCTTTGGCTGGATTGCAGCTGCGGCTCGCGAATGTCACCACCATCTCCTCTTCCCCTCTCTTTTGGCACAGTATAGCACCCATTCTTGAGCTGCTACAATCGGTGTAGAGTGTGAATGGGTCATCTTTGTTCAGTTAAGTCAGAACCGTTGCTGACTTGACCGCCCTTAGCAGGGAGCTCAGGGCCCCTTGCTCCGCTTCTTCCCACTGCCACTGCTGATCGTCTCTCAACAAGCGGTTTAGCAAGCTGGCCATCTTGCTGAAGTTGGGCACGAATCTCCTGTAGTAGTTGAGGAATCCCAGCACCGCCCTGAGGCTACTTCGGTCCTTTGGAGGAGGGACCCTGTCCAGCATCTCCACTCCACACTTATGCATGCTGGATTCCCAATGTCCCTCCTTCCACTTCGAATCCCAGGTACATCACCGATGTGTTGCCAAAGCTGCATTTCTTCGGATGGCAGGTGAGATAGATTGAATGCCGCAATCACGTCCAAGGTTGCTTTCACATTCTTGACGTGTTGCTCTGCATTGGGGCTGAAAAATATTACATCATCGATATGGCATGCTGCAGCCAGAAATCCTGTCAGTGCCGTGTCCATCGTGCGCTAGAACAATGCCGACACGTTCTTCATTCCAGACGGCATGAATTTCCATTCATACAACTATCTGGCCCATAAATCGTCGTTTTCTTCCGATCCTCTTGCAGTATGGGAGTCTGGTTAAACCCCTGGCGCAGGTCTAGGGTGGAGAACACTGTTGCCCCCTGCAGTTTATAAAATATCTCTTCTGCGGATTGCATGGGATAGCTGTCTGCCTTGGTGACTTTGTTGAGTCCTCGGTAGTCCCCGCACATTCTCCTCGCAAACACCTCCTCGATTAGATCCTTCCTCGACGCCACCACAGTTGCTGCCGCATGTTCGCTCTCTGATCGCTGTATCAAGCCCGCCGAAATGAACTCGGCGCATTTCTCCATGCATACACTGGTCAGCTCAATACGCATCTCTTGCGTTATGCACTTGCCCATCTCTTGCAGAGTGTAGGCAAAGGTGGCTCGGTGTTGGCGTAATACCTCCTGTATTGCTGTTGCCACTGCCTTTCCTAGCCCTTCTCCCAAGGTGATCCCAATGTCCTTGAGTTCCTCATGGATGTTGCAAATTTTAGAGATGTAGTCCGCCATGCCCGGGCATTCTTCGAGGCGGACCCGGAACATTCGAGTAGGGATGAGCAAAGGGCGAACACGAACATGTTCGCATTTGCAAAAAAAGGGTGTTCGATGTTCGCATGTGAAGGCAAATGCGAACACGAACGTGTTCGCCCTTGTACAAGTTTCATTATAGTCACACATGGCAGACAGGGACTTCGACCCTCCCACATGATCCCTAAACTCATGCTCCAACCGTAAACTGCAAGTTCTTCAAGGTTCCGCTATTCTAAGATGGAGGTAATGTAACCTACACTATTCTAAGATGGAGTTTAGGTGGTCCTAGGATTCCTAAGAAAGGGCGGTAGTGGGCATTAGGGGCCTGGCGGGTAGGTTGCGACTAGTTTGAGCTCACAAAATGAGCTCAAACTCAAAGCGCCGCGACCTAAATTTGGTCGCGGCCCAATTCGTCGACGAACACCAAAGTGTTCGTCGTAGGCCCCCCGTCGAACACGAACATGTTCGTGTTTGACGCGCCTCGGCCAGCTGAGCCACGCGAACGGCGAACGTGTTCGGTGCCGAACAGGAGTTCGTTTTCTTGCTCATCCCGACATTCGAGGAATGAGGATGGCAACACCCACAGTTGTCTTGTCATGAAAACAATCCTGGAGGTACTTCCAAATGTCATGAGCGGAGCGAAAGGTGCGGTAGGATTTGACAAGCTCAACCGGAGTGGTGGTGATGAAAACCCTAATAACTGCTGCATCCGCCTGCTCCCACACACTGAAATCGGTCTCATACTTGGTGGTCTTAGCTTCAAAAGCGGCCTTGGCTGTGGCAGTGGCTCCTTCGCCAAGAGGATCGGGAGGGAGAGGCATCCTTTCCCTTACCGCGGTTGAGGAGGATGTCTTTGAGGCAAATCCTCTTCAGCTCCGTGCTAAGGAGGTGCTTCTCCACTCCATAGCACCACTCTCCAAAGTTGGTGCTCGTGCCGTTGGGAGCGAGATTGAGAATGATGAGATTTTCGACGAGGTGGAAGTTGCCATTTCGCGCGGAGCGCAGCGCTAAAATCCCCGATACTTAGTGGAGCAAAGCGGAGCGGAGCGATTTTGAAAAATAAGAAGGCCGAAACGCGATTTTAGCAATAGAAAACCCAGAATTTGATGGGCTGCTCTGTTTCACCGATGCCCCCTGATCTGCTTCGCCGCTGCCCCTTTTCCACTTCTCTGCTGCGCCGCTGAACCTGTTCCGCTGCGCCGCTGACCTGTTTTGCTTCGCCGCTGACCTGTTCTGCTGCGCCGCTGAACCCGTTCTGCTGCACCGCTGAAACCTGTTCTGCTGCGCCACTGAAACCTGTTCTGCTGCGCCGCTGAAACCTGTTCGAGGTTAAGAAATTGGGAAAAAACGAGAAATTTCCCGACGGAAATAAGAAATTCCATATGCTTACGATGAAAGACGTGGAAGAGAAGGAATCGCCGTTGAAATCGGAAGTGCGTGAAGATCGAATGTGAATGCGCTCTTGAACGGCGCGAAGACGTGAAGTCGGAAAATGCTAGGCGTGGGAGCCGAAAACCGAAAGACGTATAGAAGAAATGAAGAGAACCATTACGACGCCAAGGATCGGAGTCCGCGTGAGCCGAATTGACTTGCTTGATACCATGATAGAAATGGAGGTGAACTGATTGATTAGTAGAGAAGGCACTAGGCCTTAAGTACAAAGGAGGTTGGGTTGAGCAAAGCTAGGGAAAGGATGAGATGGGAATCCTAGCAAATCTCCAATTGGTGAATTGGCAGATTTGCAGGATTACGAGGGAATCCCAACCAGATAGGGTTGGGATTACAAACTACACCCAACCGGTAAATAACCTACGCGATATAAAATATAGTACACAAAGTGTTGACAGCCTAATTCTAACACCTCCCCCATCCATTGCTTGCCCATCTTGGATGTACTTAAATAGCTTATGGCTCATTACTAATGGATCACTTCTAAGTTTATGTTGTGACACGCACCCGCTGGCTCCTCCTCCGCTGGGATCCGCTGGTGTCTTCGCCCTCTTGCGACGAGCTCCCTCTTGGCCTCAGGTCTATTTCATCTCTCCTTTGGGTAGGCCATTACTGCATACTCCCGTCGGTACTCCTCTTCCTCTTCTGCGCCTTCGATTTCTTCGTACGCGAACATCGCCCGCGTGTTTCCTTCTGCCGTCGGCTGTATCGTATTCTAGGTTCAACTGCAGTTTACTCACTTCTGCTTACAATCCTTCGCTAGTTGCCCCCAGCTGCTCCTTTGGCTTACGGTAACAAACCTCCTTGCAGTGGCCTCTACCGCATTGCTCGCAGAGAGGCGCTTTGGGGCATTCTCGCTTTATGTGCCCACCTTCCCCACATGTGTGGCAAAGTCGGGTGTCAACTCGACCACTCCCTATGATGCTCAGCCCTCAAAACACAGTTTTCCCTAGAGACCATATGAAACCTTGATGATTTTACCTAGAGCTCTTAAATGTTGTGGGGGAGTTGGGGAGGGGGGGGGCTGAGAGGGTGGCTGGAATAGTGTAAGATAGTTGAACAGATTGAACCAGTTGAAAGGTTAGGTTTGACGCAAAGTGGCTGGCAAAAAAGAGCCGCGATTCGATTCGCATCAAACTGAACAACAGCTTGGTTAATTGTTCATGACTAAACGGGATGGAGTCACAGACGGGAAAGAAATGTAGAGATAAAGGAGGTGAGGAAGTTGAGAGACGAGATAGTAGGGACGGAGTACACATGAGCATAAGTCTGAGCCGTGGGTTCGGCTTCGGCTTGTCGCCTTGGCTCATCAAGCCAACGATCATTCTCTAGACACTCCGGACTCGAAGAACTTGCGCTGAAGAGAAGCCAAAGCCGGCTCATTCCGGCTCGTGACAGCTCAAGACGAGCCGGCTCGGCCCAGACTTATGCTCATGTGGCAGAGGGGAACCTTACAGCGATGAGAGAGATGGTACTGATCCAATTTCCACAGGGATGGAACCCGTCAGCTGATTACTCCTAAGGGACCTGTCGTTCCATTTGAGTGCACAAAGAAAGAAACAAGGCGTGGGGTTTTAACATGGCGAAGAACGAGGGTGTTGACTCGTGTCAAACGAAGGACGGAGGGATATCACATAGGATGAGGGAGAAGAATGCTGATGAGCTTTCCTGAAATTTGATTTAGGAATCTAGATCAGTAAGGAGTCAAATGCGCTGATACTGGTATGAGATTAGACATGAGCAAGAGGAGTCAAACTTAGATATGAGCTTCGAACCGAACTTAGGTTCCATGAAAAAATTTCGTGCAAATCTACCAAAAGTTCGTGCGAACTTTTGCGGTTTGAGATTCGAACTTCAAACCAAACAGGTTTAGATCAGCCAACCCTAATCTCGCAAAAAAGGTAGAGCAGATCTAGATCTGCTCTAAAAGACCAAACCAATGCTTCCTCTCTACCAGTCTTTCACCACAAGTCCCTCTTAAGATGTGTCAAATGGTTACTTGTTATGTTAGACAGACCAATGAGGCTCTTTTTTTTTTACAGATTTTAAGGTGAGCATATCGTTTTTACATTTCGTTGTGCATCCTTTTTAACCCCAAAGCTAACAAGCTTTGAGCTCGCTCGAACCTTTCAAGGTTTGAGCAAAACTTTAGGGTTTGCTATTGAATACTCAAACCTTAAACCTCGAACCTTAAAATTCCAAAAGACGTTTGAGCAAACAAGTTCGGTTCGGTTCGACCACCATGCAAGGTTCGAAAAAGTTTGAGCGAACACGTTTGAGGCGAACCGAACAGGTGTTCGTATCTGTGCTCATCCCTAGGCCGACTATCTGGGTTTGGCCACTGGCGGTTCGCCTTCGTCAAATACTAGTCCTAGTTTGTCCTGACTAGTCGCTAAAACCACACATTTCCAAGGTGGTTTAATTTTCTCTGATGGAAAAATGCACTGGTTTACAAAAAAGGAAAACAATACTACGGATTTCGTTTTTCAGATTTTGATATAATCCGCATACCAATCAACACTTCAGGCAAATGGAAGGATTGAGAAAGCGGCCCGGGCAAGGTCGGTTCAACCCATTGCTCAAGTGGAAGAGGAACCAAGTTACAGGAAAGTAAGAGAAGTGAGCTTTGTGATCGAGGAGGGCAGAGATCCTGACAACATGTTGGCATCGAGAGAGCTGTCGGTGGTGTAGGGGGTGGATGCAGGGGAAGAATGGTTCCGAGTCCATTTGTGTGTTTGCAGGACCAGACCAGACTAAGATAAGAGGGATGAGCATAACCCGAACGTGTTTGTCTCGAACTCAGACGAACGCTTGCCTTACCCAAACCGAACACGTTCGGTTTGGGTTGAACATATTTTGAAGAACAGGTTTGAAGTCGAACTCCTTAGTTTTCAAGTCGAACACCAATGTGTTTGACTCGAACTCAAATGTGTTCGGATCGAGCAGCCACTACACCCCCCCACCTTCCACAGCCCCATCACCCCTGTCCACATCCTCCAACCCCCTCCACAGCCTCCTCAAGGTCCTCCTCCTCGAGCCCCTCCCCCTCCACTGACATTCCACTTCAATCTCGATTTCCACATTTCAAACGCTTGAACATGTTCGTGTTCGAGACTGTGTGACTGTTTTAGGCGATCATGTTTGACCCGAACAGTATATTGTTTGAAACAAACACGTTTTGCGTTCGACTCGAACAGAATTGAGTCGAACAAACAGATCGTCTAAAAATGGTCAGACAGGGCAGGTCCGAACCGAACCAGAGATGATTCGGTTAGGTTCAATTCGACCCACCCAGTCCAGGTTCGGATTGACCAGTCCTAACCTAACAGCACACTAGCTCTAACACTTCTGATAAATCATGATTTAAGCCCTTAAAACATGGTTTGCCCTAGAGACCATTTGAAACCCTGGTGATTATACCTAGAGCTCTTAAATGCTGTGGGGGAGGGGGGGAGGGGGTGGGTGAGAGGGTGGCCGTAGGGATGAGAAAAATCCCGAACGCCTGTTCGGTTCGCCTCGAACATGTTCGAGGCGAACCGAACAGGCATTTTTTTTTGCCTAAATCGTTCGAGGCGAACATGTTCGGTGTTCGGCCGAACATGTTCGCCGTTCGCCATTGATTTTTGGCTAAGGGAATTCGAACACGAACGCGTTCGTGTTCGAATTGGGTGCCCCGCGAAAACAAAAGTGTTCGCGTCAAAATTGGCCGCGACCAATTTTAGGTCGCGGCCGTTTTGAGTTTGAGCTCATTTCGTGAGCTCAAACTCAAAACGCCTTTAGCGCTTAGCCCTAGCCTTGCGGTTTTACTAGCTATCGCACACCTTACATCGTTCATCTACACGGACATTAGGGTTAGGGTAGTTCGTAGTGTAGGGTGTTTGTGTGAACATTAGTGTTGAGAAGCATAGGGATCAAGCACCAAGCGGTCAAGGTGTCAAGTTGTAGAGACGGCGTTTCACAATATGACCACTGTGACTGCATCGAATTTTCCCTTTGGCGAACTCGAACATGTTCGAGTCGAACATGTTCGAGTTCGCCTGCTGCAACAATTCGTTCGCCCCCTAGGGCGAACGGCGAACACCTGTTTTCGCCCAAATCAAGGATCAAAATTATGGTAATCGTATTATACGGTCCGTATAATACGGTCGTTTTATACGGTAAATTTTCCAAAAATACGGCGTATTTTTTATAGACTTGTTTTGATGCTTTTTTTCTTCTAACTAGAGAGAGCGGCGGTTGGGGTGAGGGAAGGGTGAGTTGAGTACCTCGTTGTGAAGTCTGGGCGTGCTGTGTCGAGTGGGTTGTGGAAAACGGTTGAGATACGAGGGGTAAGTTGATTGGTTGGGTTGGTTTCGCATCGTGTCGGTTCGGTGTGTCGCGATTGCCAGCGAAAAAGAAATGCGGTGCGCGAAAATCCTAAACGGGCAAAGCGAAACGGGTAAACCTGTGTTTACCGTTCGCCAAATGTTGAAATGCCGCGCCAAGGTAATTTGTACACTATGCGCTTCGGCGAGTATTGCCAACGAGTTGGCGAAGCAGGTAAACTCAACATTCGCCTTCGCCAAATGCCCAAATGTCGCGACTCGAGAAAGTCGTGACATTCGCGACTTGGCAAAACGTCACTTTCGTCTGTACGGGTGTGCGAGAAATTTGACTTCGGGAGAAACATGGGTGGGAAATTTGAGACTTCGATATACACAGACCCGAATTCAAAAGTTTGGTCGTAAAATACGACCGTATTTTTGAACCAAACAATAAAAACACACATCCACCGTTTTAAACCGTTTTATACGATCGTATAATACGATTCCGTATTATACGGTAAAAAATCAATAATTCGGTCGTAATTTTGAACCTTGGCCCAAATAGTTCGCCGAACCGAACAGTGTTCGGTTCGGTATAAGTCGATGTTCGATAGGGGACGAACACGACCATGTTCAAGTTCGCCCTCTGCTCATCCCTAGGTGGCCGGATTAGTGTAAGATAGTCGAACCGATTGAACCAGTTGAAAGGTTAGGTTTGACGCAAAGTGGCTGGCAAAGGAGCCACGGTTCAATTCACATCAAACTGATCAGCAGCTTGGTTATTTGCTCATCATGACTAAACAGGATGGAGTCACACAGGGGGAAGAAATGTAGAGATAAAGGAAGTGGGGAGCATAAGTCTGAGCTGAGCCGACGGTTTGGCTTGGGCTTGTCGCCTTGGCTCGTCAAGCCAACGATCAAGCTCCGTGGCTCCGCTGCTCTCTAGACAATCCGAACTCAAAGAACTTGCGCTGAAGACCCGGCAGTTGGCTCGTGGAAAAGCCGGAGCCGGCTTATTCCGGCTCGTGACAGCTCAAGACGAGCCGGCTAGGCCCAGACTTACGCTCATGTGGCAGAGGGGAACCTTACAGCGATGAGAGAGATGGTACTGATCCAATCTCCACAGGGATGGAACCCGTCAACTGATTACTCCTAAGGGACCTGTCGTTGCATTTTAGTGCACAAAGGAGAGACCAAAGCTTGGGGTTTTAGCATGGAGAAGAAAGAGGGCATTGATTCATGTCAAACCGAGGACGGAGGGATTTGCCCAACAATATGAGCCTTCGGAAATCACATAGGATGAGGAGAAGAATGCTGATGAGTTCTCCTGAAATTCGGTTCAGGAATCTAGAGCAATAAGGAGAACGTGAAAAATGGGCCCCTGCTTTCTTCTTGACCTGAAATGGGGCCCACTTGACCCGTCAAATGGCCGCATCAAGTGTTCAACAGGTAAAATCCCACCCCAAAAAGTCTGAAGTGCTGATAGTAGGAAGTAGAAATTAGCATACCGTCATCGCCTGGATATAAGACATATATGTTTTATCTCGTACACGGGAAATAATGCTTGGGTTGTCTTGTATTTGTGACGGTTGAGGGTGCCTTATAAGTCTTATAAATAGACAAAGAACCGTTTAGAAGATACCCCCTCGTAGGGAGAACAAATTAGCATAGGTCTGAACTGTGCGTGCGCCTTGACAGGCTTGTCGATTAGACGCGGGAATATTACCCCCGTCCACGCCGATCTAGCGGGTAGAAGTCAGACGTGAACGGGTTTGAGAGGTGGTGACGACGGGCACTGTTCATCCACGAGTATCCACCGGCTTATAAAAGTAGGAGCCAGCTCGTCCTGGCTCAACCAACTCACCCACGACGGACGAGCCACGAACCGGGTGAGCTGCCGGCCCCGGTTCGTTGTGCCGCCGGCTCGTCACGGCCTGGACTTATGCTCATGCGGCAGAGAGGAGCCTTACAGGTATGTTAGACGACGTAGTGAACCAGTTTCTGCAGGGATTGAACCCGTGAGCTGGTTATTCTGAAGAGCCCTGTCATTGCATCCAGATGCAGCAAGAAAGAAACAGAAGATAGGGTTTGACTATGGGCGAGCACAAGGGCAGTGACTCCTGCCAAGCGGTAGTCGGCCAATTTTGACTGAAAAGATGACCCTCCGGAGGTCATGCACTAGGATGAGGAGAGAAATGCTGATGATTCTCCAAATTGGGCTCA